TTGACTTTCAAGAAGAGGATGCACATAAAACTTCAATGGAATCAAATGGAATGAAAATATTAATTTTACGTCATTAATGAAGCTAATTAACAACTGTTTAAAATACAGGTCCACATGTTAATAAACTGTAAAAGCATTAAGAAATGCTTACCACTTCTCATAATGCTTACACCACAGTTTCCTCGTTGAAAAGCTAATCCTTCATACAAAGCTCCTGTGAAAAGAAGAAAAAAAAATCAATGAATGGTTGTGTAGAGTGTTCAGCAGACTCCCACCGTCTCAACCCTTAGTTTCTTGAAACTCGTAGATGTAATAATCAATACTATAAGTCTTGTGGACATGGAGCTTGCTGGCTTGGGAAACAGTCTCCCCCAAATGGAGATACACTGTATTTCTTAAAGGCTAGAGAAACAATTTAATTACCAATTATTCCACAATTTTTGTGGGTCAAGATATTAGACAAATTTAACTATTTTGTTTTAAAATAGGTGTTTTATTATTCTTTTACATTCAAATTGCCTGTTATACAACATTAAAGTGACTTTTCTCCATTGAAACCTGGTAAAACAATGTTAATTAGCCCTGAAAAAATGCAAAATGTATTGCACAATCTGCCCTGAAAATGTCGCATAATATCTGATTTTTTTTTCGCACCCTATCAGAGGGCGTGTTATAACTACAAGCACTATAATACATCTGCATAGCAATTGACTCATATTTATGGTGACCATTTTCTTTTCAACTCAACTAATAAAACCATGAATGTTTTTTTTCAGCCCCACTTCCATAGCCAATGAGGGCTCTAATGATGGCACCCATATCACGCCACACAATTTTGCTGTTGAATGCTTTACTACTAACAACAGTATTTGTATCTAACCGGTTGGTGTCGTCACAGTACAGGTTTCATAAGGAAGTTGATTAAGGCCTTCTTCAACTACTAGTCTTATCTGAAAGAGAAACCAATTAATGAATTATTCCCCTTAATAATTATTAAGGAATACACAAATGTGCTACAGAAATGCTGTATACAGGTGTGTAGTGTAAAAAGTGGGCAAAGTATTAACATAAACTTAAAACTTCTACCCAAAAATCATACATTGTTGTTATAATTATTACTTCATGCATCCTTACACACATACATGTAACAAGATTAACAAGTATATAACCGGGAAGCTGAGCTCCAGGTACAGTGTGTAACAGGTCAGTCAAGAATGAAATTACATGCAACACTCACTAGTCTGTCAGCATAGAAGACAAAGTCTCCCCTCTGTGTTTCCCTGCCATAATAATAATGAACAAAAAAACAGACATGTATATGTTGTGGTTCAATTTTATCCTTGGTTTAAAGTTAAAATACACAGTCACGTAAGCTGTATGTATGTACAGATGGCATGGATCTGTGATCAGGTAGAGGAACCAGATTAAAACATAAGAAAACTATACCAGAAAAGCCTTTTAGAGTGTGTTACATCTTAACTGACACAAGAAATGTGGTTGAATACAGGTAGTTTTACTTTTTGGTAGGTAAAGCATACATATGCTGTGGTGTCACTCCATTTATAGATAACAATCATTCTTAAAAATTTTTCTTATGTTTGAAGGGTAATCATCTTGCACATGCAAGTAATTTTAAAACAAAATTCCAACCAAAAGACAGACTGTTTTGACTTAGCCCTGTCATTTCAGTTAAATACAGGACATACATGAACCAAATAGAAGCCATTTGTGATAATTTACCTCTCCGTTACTTCCGTCTTAGATAAACTAATAAACACGGTGCACGTGTTAGAATAGAATGCCATTTATGTTTAACTCTCCATTACTTCCTTTTTAGATTAAAGTAACTGAAGATAGTAATTCTGAGGAGATACAGGGAGGGGGATAAAAATTCCACTATGAGGTGAAAGTTATTTTTCTTCTAAGTGGTACATGTCAGCAGTCCTTTAGTCTAAAAATACTGCAATATCTGGCAATCCTGACAGTTAGTTTACAGTAACACTAACTCTTCCTTGTGCCTTACTCTAAGTCTGTTCATAATCAAGGCTACATGTATATAAAAAAAGTGAAAGGAAGGAATAGAAGAAAGTGATAGTGTGTAAATACAATGTACTTCTTCCACAATGCTGTGAGTGCTTCATGTCCATTTATACATTCTAGAAATAAGAGTTTCTCAGAACTTCACAGGCTTTTGTGAGTGGGGACGGGGGGAGGGTTCATGAAATACTGAGAATGGAAGGGTGGGAGAGACATACAGTGAATGGTGTAACAGAGATGTGGTCCATCTCTTGTGGTTGGAGCAAATTTGAACCCAGTCCCCTGGCTGTATAAAGAAAGAAATCCAGTGGGATCTTATAGTAATAAGAATTGCTAAGGATGGGTAGCTTAAGTTGAATAGGTCTTCTGTTGACAAAATATTTTTATATTTCCGTTGACCCATGACCCATGATAAACATTGTCAAAAGGAAATGGGTGAAAGTGGATGGCTGTAGGGTAATACACAATGGCATTTTTCTTAATGTCTACTAAGATAAGAGTTATGTCATTTGCATGAGAAATCGGTCACATTTCACCAACAGTAATTTGTAAACAGAACAGGTATTTATTCTTAATTTAATTCTTAGTTTATATATATAATTTTAATTATGCACATACATTTTGTAACAAACCTTCTTTTAGGCTCACTAATGTCATGTGTTTAAAAGACGATAATTGATTGATTGATTGAGTAAACATTTTTTTTCACAGAGGATGAATACTGTATTTCCTCGCACAAAAAAAGGATTGATTATTCAAGGGAGGTGATTACTTCAAATATTGCTCACTGGAAGTCATGTCCTAAATATTTTGTTTATTACCCCATTAAAATGAAAAAGTGATCACTCTCTGGTCTTTTTAAGTGTTCCAAATTGGTTTGTTAAATAATTTTCAATGTCAATATCCTGGGCTTCAGAGCCTGAATTGTCACAGTGGTCAGTTTTGCCAGATCGGACTCAACTTTAACTTGGCAGAGAGAGAAGAAGGCAAGGGGGGTGGAGGGGTGATTATTCGAGGGGGGCAATCGTTTTAAATATTTCCAACCAAAAGGGGTGATTATTTGAGGGAGGCGATTAATTCAGGGACAGCTTTTATTCAAGGAAATATGGTATTTATGTCCGCCTTCCTTGAATATTAATGTGTAGTCAATTTTTTATCTCAGGTAATTTTTGTTTTTCTTTAGTTTTTGGGTATGGTAATGTACATGTATGCTAATGAAGTTGAAACGAAAGAAAAAGAAAAATTACCTGAGATAATAAATTAACTACAATATAACATGATAGTGCACCGAGTGGAAGTTGTGCTCCTTGGAAACCTTAATGCAACTTGACATCAAGCAAAATCAATGATGTCACTGCGACTACCTACTTTTCTGAGCCCAGCGTAAACCAAACGCTAGACTTGAGATCTATAACGCATTTCAGGATCGCTTGACTTTTCTTAATCGACATATGATAGTTTGGGTTGGTTGGGATTCTTAGATAAGTCAAATTTATTGAAAATACCGGACTGCCGATCATTTAGTGTTTTGAAAACCTAATGACTGGTTACCGGCCATATAGCCTCAGCGTATAAATATAGCAGAATTTCTTGAATCCCTTTTCCTCTCTGATAGATTGGGCCCTCTACACCAGCATACATGCCCTTCAATCGCATATTATAAAATAACTAAGATAGTATGTGCACTCTGATTGGCCGAGAGGAGTGTTTGCATGAGAGTATGAAAACATGGTTGTGGCGTCAAGTTGTTTGGCTTTTCGCGCGCTAATCACGCAAGCACAAATTTGAAAAAGTTTTCGAGTTCAAAACTCAAAAAGTTTACTTTATTTACCCATTTCTTTGTCGGCTGAAACTTGGAAAATCGTTACAAACAAGGTGTGTACATTAGTCTTCGCTTAAGCTGACCGTTTTAAGCGAGAAAAATCCGTATTTTGCAAAGCATCTTTTTGCAAAACAAGAACTGATTACGCGTGCAAGACTTCGTGGACAAGATTTTGCGACTGGTAAGAATTTCTCTTTTAATCAGTGCCATACAAAGAGTTTTGCGTTTTTTTCTTGGGAAAGTTATTTTATAAAAGCAATAGAAAACTTTTTTCCTGTGTTTGCATAGCCTGATATAAACACTCGAGGCGTTGGGAGAATTCTCGACAGTTATGCAAACCCTCGACTTTGCATAACTGTCTTGAATTCTCCCAACCCCTCTCGTGTTTTTTCAGGCTATGTAAACACGGAAAACGTTTTCTATTGCTTAAGTACCGCTGTGCAATCACAGAGTACAGGCTTTAGGGGAAAAAAATGACAGAAGAACCTACCTGTCTCTGAGAATAGTCTGTAACTCACGAACCTGGTCATTCATTTTGATAATTTTGAGGTTAGGTCCAAACTCCGCGGGCTTCTGCCACAGTGGAGGTTTCTCGTCGGGTATGAGTTTAAGGCCATTTGTTAATTCACAATCTTCCGCGGCTGTAATGCATTTATCCGACGTTTCAGAAGCTTCAGTCGTCTTTTGTGTTCCTTTTTGTTCTTTAACGTTTACACGTTCAGGCATTATTTGGAAAACAGAGCTCATTCATCCCCAGAAACAGGAAAACATCGCATAAACACGTTTTCCTTCTGTACCAACTCTTCCCCAGGGTCTTATCGTCTGCCGCCATCCCATAATGCGAAGCGACAAATTTCGCGCGAAAAATGGTTATGTTATGCCATTTTTCCAGCTATCTAGGGAACTGCACGAAAAGAGTAAAACACTGATTCATTTAAATTATCCCTTGTATCAAATTTTATCTGTGAGTAAGAGCTACTCCACAGGCTCACTTCCTCATAATCAAAATGAACCAATTGAATGTCATCACGGCCGATAGGCTTTATGGGCAGCCGCGTTTCTCGTGTTGATTCGTGCCAGGAGTATTGTCAATTTGAGGAAACCGCGTTACTTTCAGTGTATGAAGGAGTGAACATTTACAATGGAAGAGACAGTCGGTCAACCTGGAGACGCCGTCATTGCCGGGGACCAGGAGAGACCCATCCAAATCGGAAGCGATGCAGCTGCTGCAGAAATTGGTATGCTTGAGAAAATTTCACAAGACTATTCCTATTTACTGCTATTTAGGACTTTCCTTCTGTGCTAATGGTAACTTCTCAATTCAAAGCGAATACTGATCGAAAAATGTAGACGCTGTATGTTTGCAACAAAAAGTTTTCTTCACTTCCCAAAACTATCAATTGATACTTGTTGCGAAAAACTTTTTAACACACTGTTCAAACCTATTCTTGGTTTGCAACCACGTGCAAGGCGGCCATGTTGGGGGTCAAAACAAAAGAATATTTCCTCGACGAATTTACATGAAAATAGAGTTTAGTTCCCAGAGGAGAGAAATGCTTTTGTTCTTGACCACCAACATGGCCGCTGTGACGTCACGTGCAAACCAGCAATATATATTGTATACCTCAGAGGTATGGGGTGCATATGACAAACTGAATCTTGATAAATGGGAACAGGACCCTAGCCTGCAGAAAGAATTCACTGCCAGTTTTTATAAATACTTTCTTGGATTGAACAAAAGGGCTTCCAATGTTGTCGCTGGAAACGAAGTTGGGCAAACATCTTTAAAACCCACAACAGGCCATTTGCACTAAGAGGTCATGTGATATCATTTTTATGAAAATGAAAGTTATATGATTTTTCTTTCAAAAAACCAGTAGTGGGTCATATCTTAAACAAAAAATAGTGATTTATTTAGTTTTTCAAACCTGCACCATTTTCTTAAAATGTGTAAGTTTCTAGCTGGTCATGTGAACAAAATGTGATTTTTAAAACTATGAATTACCCCTTTCTGAACAGAAATTTTGTACTTGAACTTCAAGGAAATTGTTGAAAAGATGATGTGGTAATGTTTTCAGCACATCTGGCTTATTTATTTGAATATCCTCATATTCTGGCAACATTAGAAGAACTACCTGAAAATAGCATGCGCAGCACTAGTGCCTCATCACATCAAAAGAATTAGCAAAATATTAATACAGGAAATCATTTCTTTATCTCTTCCGCATACCAAATATGCTCACAGTTTTGCAAAAAAGGACCAAACACAACAGGACTTGGTGATATTCAACAAATAAATAAATTAGAAATATCTAAATTAACACAAAATATTCTTATAAGATTAAGCTAAAACACATCAATCCTCTCTCATTCAACTAAATAAGAAACTAAAAGTTTACTCTCTTTTCAAACAAGACAACAATAAATCTCTTTCCTTGGACCTTATAAAAAACACAAATCACCAATGCACAGGCAGCACAGTAGCAAAATTTAGAATGGGGTTCATAAGTTAGTGATAGAATACTGGAGATACTGCACGCCCAAAATCCCTGAACATCTCAGCTTAATGTGTCAATACTGTTCTATAAATGAAATCGAAGACGAGCAACACTTCATGCTAAACTGCACTCTTTACCTTAATGAAAGACAATATCTCCCTGATTCTACAAGTTGCGAATATCCTAATTTTCACTCATTGAATGGAAACGATATGATACTTTTTCTCTTCAATAATGTAGATCCCTTTGTCTGCTAGAAACTTGGCCATTTTATTTTTCTGGCCTTCGAAAAATGTGAAAGTAGAACATTAAACATAGCTGCAATATAGTTAGCATTTTCCATGTAATTATGGCCATTATTATTATTATTTACAATATATTATTACTATTATTTCCTTTTTTTTTCTTTACCTTAACGTAATCAATATTGTAATCGGCAATGCCATCTACTGATGAACATGCCAATAAATGTTGTTGTTGTAAAATGTATTATGTCAAAGTTGTTTCTGCATTAAAATCCTTGGGTTCATAAGTGGTCTAATCTTGAAGTAATATTACATAAGCTCACCCTAAGCTCGTTGGGCATTTGCCATCCCTGGGGCCACCCCAGAGCTATTTTGGCTCGTATTTGCTTGCCTATCCAAACATAAATATAACATGGAGGATTTTTAGGCAAACGCAAGCAGGCTCAACGATTGGCTCACCTGTCAAGGACAGGAAAAACTTGTTTTCTTGATGTCAATGTCTGCATTTCATCATTGCTTATCAAGCTGGAAGTCTGGAGCTATTGATGTGAATCAACACATTTTTTGGTTATGGAATGAAATTTCTGTTGATCTAGGATTTGAATGAGTTTAGTGGTGATGATATTATTTTCTAATACTACTACGATCTATCATTGAGGAACTTCCTTTACTCGCTCTGCTATCCCTGAGGAAAAATGGAGACCACTGATCGTAGTCTAGCTCTATTACAAAGGCAGATGGTAACCAAAATGAAAAATTGGCAATAGGCCAGTTGCACTAAGAGGTCAGGTGATCATTACTTTCTTTAAACAATGAGTTGGAATCTTGCTGATGCCAAAAATTGACAGAGCACATAAAAATTATCTTATGCCCTAAATTTAAGAGGAAACACATTTAAGGCAGATATTTTTATAAGGCACTTTGATTTTTCAACAAAGTATGATTTTTATCGGCCACATGTTGGAGGGCATACTCTTGCCCTCCAACATGGTGGCAAAAACTACTTTTTTGCTTATATCTTATTAAATGTTTGATAGTTACGCTCAGATGTGCTGTAAACGTTACCACATCGTCCTTTCAACATCTTTCTTGAAGTTTAAGTGCAAAATTTGCGTTCAGAAAGAGGTAATTCATAAATTATTTTAATAATCACATTTTGGTCATGTAACCAGCTATGAACTTACTCGTTTTAAGAAAATGGTGTGGGTTTGAAAAACCAAATCACCATTATATTGTTTACGATATGGCCCACTAATCATTTTTCAAGGACAAAATCATATAACTTTCATTTTCCTGAAAAATGATATCACATGAAGTCTTAGTGAAAAATAATGGCCTATTAAAATGCACTTTTGACTGTGCGATCAATGAAAAGTGTGGCGGTGTTGATTGATGATGGGGCATTTGCCCTCTTTTTTGTCCACGCCACGGGGCATTTGGCAGCTCAAGTGTCCTTGTCCCCAGGAATTTGCCATCCAAGTCAGAAAAATTGCTAATTCTAAGGTCTGGGGGGGGGGGGGGAGGATGCACCTGGAATTGACTGACGCATAATTCTTTCTGAGTATGTATCTAGGCACAGTTAGTGCTAACTATAGAATAGGAGGCGTGCACTTAAAAGCCTTTAGCTTTATCTCTGATCCATTAGTCACTTCTTTTGTTGCCGAACTCCTGAATGTGTAGAAAAGACAAAAGTAACAAAGTGTACTTTGGCCAACGTTGAACGTTTGCAAGCAGATATACTGAGTATGCCAATTTTCAAAAAAAAGATTCTAAGTGAACATGTAAATAAGGCACAAAAGAAAATGCAAAAGTAAGGTTTTCATGAGGCACTACCCAAATGACAATATGGTACCGTATTTTCGCGATTTAACGCCGGGCCCCGGCTGTCAAGAAAAAGGCATAAAAACTTTTCTATAGTAACAGTAAGCTCGAATAATCTGCAAATTCAAACAAACGCCGGTCCACAAGGTCAAGTTTGATTTAAACGCCGGGGGCGTTAAATTGAGAAAATACGGTACTTTCCGCAGAGGCCTGTTAATTTACAACACGAAACCAGTAATGCAATATAAGGCCCTTTTTACATTAAGTAGTGTTTTTAGTGCGTAGGGTTATAATAGAACGTTTCTGAGTCTTGAAGTTGAGTGTTTTTGCTCATGCTGAAATGCAAGGACAGTTACCCCACTATGTTTTTGAAAATCTGTATTTTAAAAGAGCTTTGTATGGTTGGAGGCCAGGACAGGTATCCCGTTATCAAATCTTGTTTGAGTGATTTTTAAAAGCTAACCATAGACTTGCTCAAAAATTGCAATGGTCAATATGAATTAAGCGTGAAGGCTGTTTTATGTGGTTGTGCTCAACATCATCTTCATCAGGCATTAGCACTGCTGGCTGGTTGCCTCATGTAAGGGAATCTAAGACAGTCTTGGACTGGATTCCAGGTACTGGATTTTAGATTCTTTGTCAGTGGAACTTGGATCCATATTCCAATTATTAGGAGGGTTCTGGATTCTGTGAGCTGTATTCCACATTTCAAAGCCCAGGATTAAGGATTTCACAGCAAATGTTTGGTGAATACCAGATTCCACAAGCAAAAATTTCTCAGATTCCAGAATCTGGATGGGGCAAAACTGGGCATGTGATATGCACCGATCAATTCAACATTTCAACATGTATTCATCCCATTGGCAACCATCGCGCATTTGTCGCAAATTTGAACTTTTTGTAGGACAGGCTTGTTCAAATTCTCCCTTAAATTAGGCCAATATAGCTGGTCAAATGCACTTCAATAAAGGCAACTTGACTTCTTTGAAAAACCTGGTATTATGGCAACGACCGTGACTGAAAAAATCCACAACAACTGAACCACAAAAATTACCCACTCTCTTTTCATACATTTCACTTCCAAAATGTTTCATAGCGTCTGAAGTCTTTGTTGAACAAGCCATTCACATTCAAAAGCTTTGTCTCTCTCCATCTCACTATGAGACAGCCTGCATAGCTGGCAGGATTAGCAGGCAAGTGCGGCGGTTTCTTGGCAGTGGCAGGAAGCACGTCAATTCCCTCGCGGCTTCACCTCTTGCTTCAAGTGGCAGCTCGCCAAGAAAGTACCCTGGGCAGAAAATCCCGTCAGCTTTGCAAGCTAACTATGTGAAAGATTTCTTCTATCGAATCACGATCTCATCCAGACACCAGATACAAAGAAGTTATATTATCTTGTCACTTTCAGTTCAAATTCCCCACCCTTTGGAATGTCTTTTGCGTCAAATTCCTCACTTCTCTAGCCTGGGTAGCATGGCGTTTTGGTTGCTAAGTAATAAAGGCGGGCGAAGGCTGAAAAACCGCGAGGAGATTGGGGCGGGAGCAACTTGACTTATTTTTCTCGCGGCTTCGCCGCTAGTGCGCCCGGCTCTACAAAACCGCCATGCTACGCAGGCTATTACTTCTCGCGCACGAGTGATGATCAAATGCCCAGGGGAGGGGATGTTAAAGCTTTGAATTTAGCAGCGCATAATGTCTGGCAATGAAATAAGTGTCTCTTACATATGGAAGGGGGTACCTAAGGGGCCATTTTTTTAGGAAGGTAAAAAATTATTATTATTTTTAAAAATAATTTCCACCAGTGGAGGGCAGAGTAATTATTCTTCTTCTTTTTTTCAAGAAGAATGTGACAAACAATTAGAGGAGCAGATTGAGGGACACCCATTTTCTGAACCTTGGGAGGATAGTGACTTGGTACTCACAGTGGAGGATGATACATTTTATGTCCATCGACAGATCCTGAGTTTACACTCACCGGTGTTTAAAGCGATGCTGAATTCTCAATTTAAAGAAGCCACAGCAACAGTAATCCCATTGCCAGGAAAGAAAGAAAATGAGGTTTTAGATTTCTTGAAGGCGCTTTACCTGAAAGGAACAGCTGAAATAACTTGTAAGTAAGATATCAGTAAAGCAGGGGTCAGACTTTGCGCCCGAATACGGTAATTGCTGGGCACCAATGTAAGCACGCCCTTTCTCAAGTACCCACGCTCTGCGAATGCGTGCACCGTGCTAGTGCCCGATTTCAAAATAACGTTTGACATGGCAAAAGCGGGTAACTACGCACATAATTACAGGCTGGTACTTAAGGTGTGAACACAACACCATTTTGTGAGGGTATCCAGGCAGTACTCCTCGGGCACCAAGTGTGGACGGCACCTTAGTTGCCTTAATACAGTCGGATCTTTGCACAATGGCCATCTTTTGATTCACTATTTATAAAGAAGGGAAAATCTCCAGAATAGTCCGTTTTCACGATGACGACATTTGACTACAACTACCAGAATTCATTTCTTTTTTTGCTTTCTTAATATTTAAAACTGTGAAAGGTTTGAACCCAGGAGTCTTATTTAAATTTGTCGATCCCGCTGGGGATTAACAAAAAATCTGAAGCATTCTTGTAATTGTCGTAAAATGACGTCATCGTATCGTGCAATTGGCCTATTAAATAGACAATCATATAGGAGGAGATGCCGTTATAAGCGCTGGTAGACAGCAGAATGGCCCCCGCCAGTCTCTGATCATTACCCTTCCCGAAAAAGGTAATCTTGTACAGTGCATGAACTGTCGCAAAATCAGTCTAAAATGCCATCCAATCATGCTGAAGGTGCTGTTAAACGGGCTGAAGCCCCAGCCAAAACACAATTATCTCGCAACAACATGCAGGCTTCAGAGCAGGACGTCGAGCAACAGGACGGAACTTCAAACTCAGGATATTGAACGAGAGGTACCTCCAACATAATAAAGACCTCGATTACGTCTTTGTTGATTTAAAAATGGCGTTTGACAGAGTATGGCAGAAAGCTCTTTGGTCTTCTAAGAGGCTTTATAAACATTAGCGCAAACCTGATCCGAGTCATAAAGAACCTCTACAACAAGGCCACCACACAGTGCAGTCTGACCTAATGACGACATAGGAGACTGGTTCAGAACCACATTCGAAATCAGACAAGGCTGTCTGCTGTCATCGACTCTTCTCAACGTATTTTTTGAGAGAATTATGACTGAGAACGGGAAGATCACAACGGAACAGTCAGCATTCGAGGCGAAAAGTTCAGCAATTTATACGTTTTGCCGATGACATTCTGAGCTTGGCAGGAAAATAGGAGGAACTAGCCTCTCTAGAGGATCACCTGAATAAGATCCTGCAGACTTTGGCATGGTAATTAGCGTAGAGTAGATCAGGCAAACTCATGACCAACAATTCAACACAGATGCATCACAACTGAAATCAGGGTAGAACATTGGACGAGGTTGAAAGTTTAAAGTATCTGGGCGGAGTCGTCACAGATCAAGGTTTCAAGCCTGAAGTACAGTGTAAAAAAGCACAGACAAGAGCAACACGAGCGATACTGAAGATCATCCGGAACGACAAGAGTATGTCCTTTAGCTCAAAGATTAGAGTCATGCACTCCTTGGTTGTCTCGATTGTCTCGATGCTCTTGTACGCCTACGAAACCTAGACATTGACAGCGGACATGCTTCCAGAAGAAATTGCAGCCCACTGAGATAAGGTGCTTTAGGACTGCTTGGCATCTCACACAAAGACCACAAAGCCAACGAGGCATGCAGGGACAGAATCAAGCAGGCTCTGTGGCACTATGACGACATCTGAACCACGGTAAAGAAACGCCAGTTAAAGTGGTTTGGGCATGTATTTAAATCAGCAGTGCTTGCCAAGACAGTTTTACACGGAACAGTGCAAGAAGGGAGAAGAAGAGGAAGATAAAAGAAGAATTGGGAGAGTAATATCTCTGATTGGATGGAGTTAAGAGTTGCGACGCCCGAACAGAATGTGATAACAAGATCAGATGGAGGGAAAGGTTTGCTAGGTCCGTGAAGTCCTAAAAGGGTTATCGCGGGTGCATCTCTCTCCGCAGGGTGACCATTTTCAATAGATTTTATGGACAACAATTTCATAGACACATCATCTGGTGCGACTGAGAAAAATTGAATGACTTTTAAGTGCTTCAATGCTGTCCGTATTTTAGATCTCCCTCTACGCGCATCTATTAGTGATAATCTGGCAAAACTGCATTGACAATCCCTATTGTGCAGGAGAGCCGAACCCTGCTCTGCGCCATTTTTAATTTGTTTATTAATCAGTTAATCATGCCTCTCAATATAGTTTAAACGCCTTCGGCTCGGCTGATAACACTTACCTTGAACTTGATTATTTCGGTTATCACTAAAACCTCATCCATCTGATTACTAAAAACTGATTTAATTTCCCCAGTAATTTTCTAATGTAGTCGAAGGTTCTACCTGGAGCAGCACTTGACTGCCCTAAGTGACTATTTCTAACTTATTTAGTTCTCTCGACAAGTGATCAGAATCATTATTCAGGTAGTTTCTACCTGAATAATGCTCGCTTTATTTTTCTGGGTATCTTTGGTTTACATTAATCTGTCTAACATGTCTCTTTTGTCATCTTTATCCAGTGAAAAAAGTGAGACACCTTCTGAAGTTAGCCGACGAGTACCAAACACAGGGCGTGCTTGACCTTTGCGTAAAGTGCCTCAGGGATGTACCAAAATATGAAGACAATGTGGTTACGATTCTGTTCCTGGCAACGGACACAGTGATGGCAAGAAACGACTCCAGGCTTGATGGTGTTCGCAGAGAATGTGAAACCCTTGTTGAGGATATGGAGCTTGCTGATATCACAGGAAAGAGCGATTTTAAGAATTTGAACAGAGATAGCATGGAAAGTGTTTTAGTTAGAAGATCTCAGCGGTTAGAAACGTGTCTTAAGGGGGTTTATCCTCAGTTGGTCGGGTTGGTGGAATATTGTCTATTCATGAAATTAGATAGGCATGCTCCAGGCGAAGTATCTCGTTGTCCCCAACATTTTCCAGGGGGTGGGCAAAATGTTAACAAGGCAAACAGAGATCTCGTACAGCGAATAAGGAAATGCTCGGTTTGTAGAGGGATGATTCAGCAATTGGTTTCTTCATCTGTTAAAAAGCAATCTACCGCGACGGGCTCAGGTTACGGCTTTCCAGTCCTTTCTTCACGCCTTGGAGCTGGCTTAAGAGTAACTGCCCCAAAGGAATACCTCTATGGGGGGAGCTACCACTTTGACGAGGAACTGATCACACTCCTGAAGGATATAGACAAGTTATATTAATCCTGGAACAATGACACTGACGGTAATGGTAATCTGCACGCTTTAAAAGACCTTGAAAGGGTTGCGATAATCCAAAACACATTTTTAGTATGACTCGTATGGAAAATGGCGGCCAGATTGCCAGGAACCATGGCGGGAAAACAGAGTATGTGCGCGCGGAATCAGGGTCCCCCCCCCCCTCCCTCACCCACCCAACGGTGACGTATGCACAATGCTCTCGTCGATGGAGGTCGTAAAAAGACAATTTCCACGCTAAATTTCTCAAAACCTAGCAGTACGAACTGCGTTCAAATTTTGGAAAATTGTTAGAAAACATAAAGACAAAACCATAAAAAATGTTTGCAAATAATAAATTATATAAAAAAAGAAAAAATTAAAAAAAAAAAATGTTTGCAAACAAATTTTATAGAGGTTTTATTAGTTCTTATAAAAAAAGGAGAAAATTCCGCATTATTGGCTTTTGTTTCTTCACAAACAATTATTTCTACCTACCAGACACTCAGCAGAGGTTGAAACGTGTAACTCTCACGTTTGCTTTGTCCGACGCTCGTGAATATCCGTGTTCGCAAGTACCATCATATGAGAAGAAAAGCTAACTCAGGGGCACCCAACGAGAATATAGTTCAAAACCACTTAAACATAGCACTGTTCAACGTATTTTAGTATTTAAACGGTAGATATAGGCATATTTTTATCCCCTAAAAAATTTTCATCTGTTCGGATTTCCTAGCTGAAAGTCTCGAGATCCGAAAATCATAGGGATCAAAACTTACCTTTTCGAAAATTTCAGCCAGAAAAAAAGCCCCCGAAAATTCTAGGTGAGCTTTTTAGGGTAAAAATCCGTTAAAAATGGGAAATTGCACCAATTTTTAGATGTTCGAAAATCCGAGGAGAGGTAGGCAGGCAAGAAATTTTACAAAAAATGTTCTAGATCTCAAATCGTCTTGCGAACAGATATTTTCCGAAAATTGACGTTTGGTGCCCCTGCTAACTGACCAATCAAACTTCGTAAACGACGCGTAAACGACGTTCCAGCGCGCGTTCAAAAAATAGGGAGCTTTAAGCACAGGTGGCCCAAACGTAATATGAGAGTTTTTATGGGAAATAAAGAGTTTGTATGGGAAATTTAGATGGAACAGGTGAACTAAAAGCGATAAACGTCATCAATTAAGTGTAAATATTGTTGCCTGGTTTCGTTGTCTTTGTTTTTACGAAATTTCAGCGAGATTTGAGTACTTTTACATCATCTGATAACTTTTATGGCTTTTAGTTCATTTATTTTAGCTAAGTTTCATTTCCCATGCAAACTTTCATATTACACTTGGGCAACCTGTGGCTTAAGCAACATACAACGGCAACGGCAACGGCAACGTCACTGTCAAAATTATCATCATCATCAATCTTTATTTATACACGAAATCGTATCACTTTTACATGGTCTTCCTAGGAATCGTGTGTAAAATTATACTAAATACTCCAAGAAACTACTTGACTATAAAGTTAAAAATACAAAGACTTACATTATGATAAGAGTTACAATGAGTCATATTGTATTAAGATAATCTTTCCCATGAAATGAAGTTTTGAAAACATTTAAACTAGTCAGGTTTCTAATCTCTGAGGGAATCTTGTTCCACAGAACAGATCCTCGGTAGGGTAGGCTCCCTTTTGCAGACTCAGTTCTGGGTCTGGGAACGTAAAATGAATTCGAATTCCTTCAAACTTTGTCGCGTTTGTTCCAATTCGTTGAAAATCTCGAATGTAGACGAATTTCCCTGGATTTGATTTCTTGGGGACCGCATTCAAGTTTAGTAAGAGAAAGACAAATTCGTTGTTGCTTGTTTACGTCCTCCAAAAAAACGTGAAATTAGACGTTTTCACGTCATAGTAAGTGACGACAAAGAAATGCGCAAAAAAAGTGTGATGCACGTTCAAAGCTGCTGTTTTACTAATAAAACTTATTACAGTTTTGCCGTTTTCGTTACTAAAGCTCCCTGATGGTTGCCAATGGCCGAAACCTTGTAGAGACGAGGGAGATTTCTAATACGATACGCCGGACTACAGCTACTCGAGTGTAACGGCTAGACTTTTGGCCGTTTTACGGCTAACGGTTAACCCGATTGAGACCCTCTTGCAAAACGCAATCTTCAAGAATTTCCAAACAGGTATTTAGAAAAATGAAAATTAATGCGCATGAACGCGAGTTACACGTTTCAAACCTTTGTGCGTTTCAGTACCTACTTAATAAATTCTGAAATAATAAGATGGGATCGTACGGCTAGGTCTTGTGATAAAAGTCTTTAAAATATCCTTTGCTCCAGTCTCCCTATATTTCGCTTAACCCTCGGACGTACACGCAAATTCATACCCCCACCGTGATAGGTGTGTTGCAGTATTTCGAAACTATTTTGCCTTCAGTGGAAATCCTTTTAGGTGGTGGCGCTGTTGGAGGCCCCCAGTAATTTTTTTGAGGTTGACATGTAAAACAACACAAATAATCATTTTTACTTTTGTTGTTGAAAAGAGTTAAAAAAACATGCATTTTCACTCAAAAATGACTTGATAACCGGCTACTTATGACGTCATATCTCGTAACCATAGTAACTGACCATCGCTAAAATTTTTTCAAAACGTGGCGAGGGATAAACGAACAGCTACTGAAAATGTCAGGTGCTGATTTTTTATCTTCTGGGAAAAAATAATAATAATAAAAACTCAGAGGGATGTGGCAACCACCTTCCCCCCCTTCTTGTACGTCTGAGGGTTAATCAGTACGAGGCAATAATTTTACGAGCATATCATTTGCAGTGACTATTCAGTAGAGACCTTCAGTTGCTTAAAATGTTCCAATTTGAAACTGCCTTTATCTTTCATCTGAAAACTGTAGTAAGACACCTTAAAAAAAGTAGGTGCGGCACCGTAAAGAAACCGGGATTGAGCAAGTATTAATGTTTTAACAGTCTCTTTGGTTGAGTTGATGTTTGCTGTGTTTTCACCTTCTTGTGTGGATTGAGTTATACCTGGCTGTTCATTCTAATGCTTGATGATAGTGCCCAGTGCCGCTGAATCATTTCCCATTAACCAGGATCATAGTTCCATCCCCTCCCTTAATTAGTGTAGCTACGATATCCGCTGCAGAAGACTAGGTGACAGATTAAGCTTTAGTTAAACTCAAACTCCATTCCCCCTAATAAGCTCTGTTCATTTTGTCTGGTGTATGTTTATCAAGGGCGTAGCTACCTGTAAGCATTATCCATCTGCATACTTGATTAAAAATGTCAAAGATGAATAAAAACAAAAACTAACGGACACAGTGATTGCAAGTGAGGATTCTAGGCCTGATGTTGTTTTGTGATGATTGTGAAATCCTCATTAAAGACGACACGGTCACCTGGCTTTCATCAGGGCGATTTTGAGAAATTGAACCGAGACAGCGTGGAAAGAGTTTTTGTCAAAAGAACTGAACGTTTAAAAATCTTTAATTATATATATTAAAAAACAAACAAACAAACAAACAAAGATAGCACGCCCGCTCTGATTGACCAAGAGGTGTGTTTGTATCACTTTGCTAGCAAATTGTTTTCGCAATTGTCGCAAAAGAAATAATTGAGAAAAACTAATGCCAGAAAATCACCTACAAATATCGGAAAAATCGCCAAAATAACAAATCTAACAAGAGTGAAGACTTAGAAAAAAAAAAGAAACCAAGTGGGACTCCGAAATATTCGCAAATATCGCAAAAATCGCAAAAGTATAAAGGATTTTTCTTGCTAGCTGAAAACACCCGTGACAAATATCGCAAAAATAACAAATCTAAAGAGAATCAAGACTTATAAAAAAAAGAAGCCAAGAAGGACCCCGAAATGTCCGCAGATATCGCAAAAATCGCAAAAGTAACAAGGATTTTTGTTGCTGGCTAAAAACACCCATGACAAATATCGCAAAAATCGCAAGAATAACAAATGTAACAACATTCAATTAACAAATTGAAACAAGGACAAAAATATATCGAGACAAAACAACTTATATATCCAAGTAGTTTGTCAAAAATATCGAGACAAAACAACTTTAGCTAGCAAAATGCGATTCAGCCGCCATTGTTTTGGTTTGCAAAGCCGGCGCTTTTCGCTACTTGTAGTCTAGTGGGCTATAACATATAGCCTAGTAGTGGCTCAACCAATCAGAACACAGCATTGATAATAGACCACTAGTTATGATAGAAAGACTGGATAGGAAACTTATGTCACGTGGGCTTATTTCTTACCGCCGATTGGTTGTTTCGTGCTCCAAGATGGCGTTGGATGGTTCGATCATAGTTGAAATTTGTGACGAAACGATGGCGAAAATGTGGCGTAAACCAGTCGAAATGTAGGGTTTGTTTGCCTGCACGTTGTTCTTTTTCGGAGTTTTTAGTGCTACTTTAATTTTTGGTGCATGTTTTCCCCTTCGTTTGCTAACAAAATCATTTTGTCAAGGTTGTTAACTTTGACACTCGCTGAGCTTGTCGACAAAAGCAGAAAAGAAATCGTCAAAAACCGTGATAAAAATAATTAAAATTATTTCCGGCTTTCTTGTGGTTTGTAGAAAATAAGGCTGTGCCTTTTTTATAGGTGTTTTGTAGCTGTATACAGTTTTTATGTCGTTAGGCTTCCCGTTTAGTGCATGAAATTATCGGGCGCTGGAGTGATTCTTCGCTCTCACAAGTTTCATAATCATTTACTCCGTCTTTTGCCTCTACTGGTTTTGTACCCTCTAACTGTCTTCTCCAGGAGCAAGTCCTCTTCATCCTTTACTTCAAAACATTATCAATCTTTATAGTCGAAGACAGAGAGAGTGAAATGTGCGTGAAAAAATAAGACGCGCAAAACATCGGATGTAAGAGGTTGAATGGCCCTCGATAATGTGACGTCACATTTTTACCCTATGTTGGAACCGATCACGTCAGCCAGTTTCCTATCCAGTCTTTC